GAAAAAATTGTGCTCAAGCATCCATGCCCAACCTTAAAAAATCTGAAAGTATAATATTCTGTAGGTAAGGGAGCATGTATTCTGCATCTTCCTCATAAATAGGCATGCTTAAGCCTAGGGTTGGGTTTGTTAAGAGCTTGATTTTATTAATCAAGCAGAAAACAAGCAAAGAAAACCTATGATTTAGATGTCTGACCATACAAGTCACTCTCCAGCTTAATCATTTCCCTTCAGGAAACAGCAGAAGGAGCACATTTTCCCGCACCCTCAAATTACATCATAACAGTAGAATTCCTTATGTTATTTTTTTTTTAAACTTCCTCCAAGTTGTTTACACTTGTTCAACTTAAACTCTATGGAACTTCTTTACAAGCTGCATCACTTCAATCATATACTGCTGTCATATATCTTTAGCTTCACTGGTGTTGTCTCTTCTCTCAGGAATGCCCTTACCATTTTCAACCTTCAAGACTCTATATATTCAAGCATCATCTCCATAAAGAAGATTTTCTGAACCTCAAAATGGGCCACTGGTTATTTCTCCACTGTCTGAGTAATTTACGCTTGTGTAAATCTTAATACTATGTTATTTTGTTGAAAGGCATGGATGTGTCCATCTCCTGCCTAGATGACAAAACCCGCAGATGAAGAGGTGAGGAGTTGAGTTGTGGCATAAGATGACCTGGGATAGAATCCTAGCTTTACTGCATATTAGACTGTGACATTTAACCTCTGTATCCATTGGACTTGTCTGTAAATGAAAATAATCATTTCATCTACTGAAAATCATTTTACTTAGCATTCTCTAAAGAGAGTGCTGTGGAACTCTGGTAAATTAATATAAATAATATCCCTAAAATAGCATCAAAACATGGTAACATATGCTGAAAAACTGTTAGGTATGTACCACGAAAAACTAAATATCCAATGTGATCTTCTGTTCTACCCAGTTCGGTGATAGTGCTCTGCAATCTGCCATCACCAGCTCATGTGCTTGACATTTGTTCATAAAATATGAGGGCGCATAGAACACTAAAGAAATGTTAGTGCAACCTTGCATATAAATAGAGGGAAAAGTTTGGAGTGTCTACCGGCACGCCAACTAGTTGGCTGACAACAGATGCATCAAAATGATCTCTATCAATCTTAGAAATTTTGGTGCACATACTAATGTCAACAAAGATGACATTTTTCACTGCATCAAGCAGGAAAGCCAAGGTAAATTAAGTGTATTTCTCAGAAAAGTAAATTTATTCAGTCATTATTTATTCCAAGACTATTTCTTTATTACATTTTGATGTTGAAATGTCCTTTCTTTTATAACATAATGGTGACAGTTGAGTCTGTTTATTCTATTTGTGGCTTGGTTTTTGTATGATTTAATTTTAGCAATCTTATTTGACAATCTAAGTTAGTAATCTTTTTTTTTGTCTATTTCTCCTCGCTTCACTTTCTGAAATTATTTTGTTACATGAAATTCCATAGAATTCAGACAAAACAGTTTACAAACCCCTTGAAGGATTTTCCTGTAGTCCCAGGTCTTTTGCTCCATCACATAAGCTCAGGAAACTGATTTGTCATCTCAGAGAGAGTCATATTTGCCATATCCCAGGGACCAAAGTATAATCAAAATAACAATAGTCAAACTGTACTGGGTGCTTAATATGTATAAGTCACAGTGCTGTGTACTGTGCATAGGAAATACATTTTGTTTTATGAGACAGTTGGCCCATAGTCCCACGGCTAGCTAGAGATGGAATCACAATTCAAACTCAGTCTATCCTCTCCATAAATCCATGCTTTAACCAACATAGTTCACAACCTAAATGTACATATATAAAATTGTAATTTTTTGTGACTCCAACAAGATATAATTATCCTATGGGCCTACTTATTTAGGCATTTTTTATACTATGTCACTTTTCTACCTTTCCAGATTTTTACTGTGTCACCTTTCCACCTTTCCAGATTTTTCTATCTGGATCTCATCTAAATGGAAGATGTTAAGTTCATAAATTCTTGGTGAGCATGGAATTTGATATTTGGTATCTAATATTTGGGTACATATTACCCGGAGTGCCAAAAGTTAAAGTGAAGTACTCTTGTCTTATTATAAGATTAACAAGGCAGAAGATTTAAAAATTATTCAGAATTATAAGCCAAATTGTCTTCTGTACAGGAGAACTTTTAGGAGGAACTGTGATATCTGCTTCCTGTTGATATTTTTTCCTTCTCATATGTTAACACTATCAAATATTCCTTTGGTCTAAGATTTAGCCCTTTTAAGGTGACTGTGACTGTGTCTGTATCCCCCTAATGCAGGATCAGATGAGGGAATGCCCCGCTGCGCTAGCCTCACCAGGGCCTGGAAGCAGCCTGTCCATCCCTGCGCTGCAACCATGGCAGGTTTCTTGGTCTTTCAAACCATAATACACACATTTACAAATGGTTTGAGAGTACCTGCTTTATAGACTTGATAGACAAATCAAATGAAACACATATAGAATGGTCTGGAACAGGGAGGGCACTCAGTACATGACACCGCTCGATGTCGCTGCTGTTGCTATTGCTTCTGTACCTACTGGGTTGAAACTCTAAAAGGAAAATCTTCTACTCTTTGAGGCCAATGCTTGAGAGCCATTCCTGTCTCTCTGAGCCCAAGACTCTACCTCCTTGAGATATTTTTTTCTCTTTCATGGAGGGCAGCAGTTAAGTTGTTGATCAGTCTGTTTCCTGCCTATAGAATTTTGAAACTCTAAAAGCATCTTCTCATTTCATTGCTTTCTTCCTTTGTCTCTAAGAGACAGTGTCGCTGCTGCCATAACATTCTCAAGAGCCCTGTCTGCCTCCTGCGTATGCCTGGAGATTCACTCCCATAAAGCTAGCGGCAAGTCCACGGAGCATGGCTTCGGCTGAGAGGGCTGATCTCACACCAAATCTCTCCAGAGTCCTCTCTGATTACATACTCTGACCTCTTGATATTTCCTAGGTACTAGCAAAGGTTGTCCTGTCATACCCTTGTTAAATCACCAAATGTCATTATTTTTTACCATCTAGATAGGCTGGGGATTTCCCAATCACCAAGATCCGGTTCTTTTTTTGTTTAACAGTTCTCTCAGTTTCTCTCTCTCCTCTCACATTTAACTGTGAGCAACAAGAAAATGCATGCCATACCTTCAGCACTTTGCTTGGAAATCTCAACTAAATATTCAGCTCATCACTTATAAGTAGCTTTTAAAATAACTATAAAGTAAAATTCTACAAAGTTTTCTGCTACTAGATGGCAAAGATGTTCTTTCTTTCATTTGTTCCTCATTTCCTTCTGAAATCTCACCTACAATGTTTTCTTTTTTAAGTTTTACTTTATTTATTTATACACACAAGAACTGGGGTGTAAACCAGAGATGTGGGAGGTAAGAGGATTCACCAGAGACAGAGTGGGGAACAGAACAGGCAGACTGACTGAAATACACTGCTGAGGGGAGCAGCAAGTGAGACAGGAGAGGTCTACCCACGGATCGAACTCATGCCTCAGTGGCTGGCTTGATAGTACTGAGATGTAACCCCATGCCACCAGGGAGGCCCAGCAAAGTCTTTAATGTCTGTATTCCTTTACAATCCGTTGAAGTCAATCTAGGTTTTTTCTGTCATGGAGCTCAAATCTTTCCAGCCTTTGTCCCCCGCCCAATTCCAAAACTACATCCACATTTTTAAGTATGTTCTACAGCAGGACTTCATGTCCTGGTGCCAAAATCCATACCAGGTCTTTTTTGCTTCTGTAGCAAATTACCAGAAACATAGTGCCGGGGGTCTGCCTGCACCCCAACTCTTGTATGCATAAATATTGAAAAAAAAAACCTTAGTGCCCCAAAACTATACTGATTTAATATTTTACAAGATCAGAAGCTTGAAATTGATCTTACTATGCTCAATTCAAGACGTTAACAGAGCCACAGTCCTTCTGCAGACTTGAAGGAAGACCCAATTGCTAGTATTTTCTCAGCTTCTCAAAGCTGCAGTCCAGGACTGCCTTGCTCTGACCACTGCTCCCATTGTCACATCTTCCCTGGCTCTGATATTTCCTCTTCCCTCTTATAAGGATTTGAGTGATTATATAGGCCACCTGGTAATGCAGAACATTCTTCTCATACCAAAGTCCTTAGCTTGATCACATCACAATTTACCACTGGCCAGAACATATCCACAAATTCCAGGAGTTAAGACATGGACATCTTTTGGTGATCATTATTCTACCTACCACTAGTTATAGGAGTTCTTTGTATTCTGGATACTAAAACCCAATCAGATGTATGACTTACAAATATTTTCTCCCATTGTTGGTTGTCTTTTGACTTTAAATAATGCACATTTTTTTTAATTTTGATGAACTGTTTATTTTTCCCTTTTGTTGTTGTGATTTTGGTGGCTTATCATAAGAATTTTAGTGCTGTCTCTTAAATTTAGGCCTTTCCATCTCTTTGTGTCTTCTATCTTTAAACAATGCCTTGTAGTTTTTGGTGTATGGGTCTTTTACCTTTTTGGATTAACTTACCCCAAGGTATTTAATTCTTTTTGATGTTATTGTAAATGTGTTTATCTTCCTGACTTCCCTTTCCAATAGTTTGTATGTAGAAACATAACAGATCAAAAGAATGAAACTAGACCACTATCTAACACCATACACAAAAATTAGTACAAAATGGATTAAAGACTTGGATGTAAGACCTGAAGCCATAAAATACAAGCAAGGAAACTTCGGTAGTAGACTCCCTGACTTCATCCTCAAGAGACGTTTGGAGACTCGGCTCCAATGGCAAGGGTAACAAAAGCAGACATACAATACATCAAACTAAAAAGCTTCTGCACATTGAAAGAAACTTGCATAAAAAATGAAAAGACATCCTACCCAATGGGAGAAGATATTTACACATTGTATATCCAACAAGGGATTAATATCCAAAGAACTCATAACACAGCAATAAAAAAACAAATGACGCCATTAGGAACAGGTATCTGAATAGACACTTCCTCCAAAGAAAACATACAAATGGTGACTAGATACATAAAAAGTTATTTATCATCTCTTATTACTAGAGAAATGCAAATCAAAACAATAACACGTTCACACCTGTGAGAATGACTATTATCCAAAAGACAAGAAATAAGTGTTGGAGTGGATATGGAGAGAACACTTAGGCACCGTGAGTAAGAATGTTATGAAAAGCAGTATGAAGATTTTCAAAAAATTAAAATTCCATACAATCCAGTTATTTCACTTCTGGGTATTTATCTGAAAAACACAAAAACATTAATTCAAAGAGATATATGCACCCCATGTTTATTGCAGCATTATTTACCATAGCCAAAAACTGAAAATAACCCAAATGCCTGTAGACTGAGGCATGGATAAAGATGATTCCACTCACAGTGGAATACTGAGGTATACAGAAGGTAAAATCCTTCCATTTGGGAAAATGTGAATAAACCTAGAGGATATTATACTTAGTGAAGTAAGCCAGATAGAAGAAAAACAAACTTAGTATTTCGTTCACATGTGGCTTATAGAGAAAACAAATTAACTAAATAAAAGACAAAAACTTACAGACTATTAAGATTATTTAGTAGTCACTAGAAGGGAATGGGGGAGCAGGGCCAGTAAATTGAGAAAGAGGACTGTTGTATGGTGACGGATAGAACTGGTCTTCTGTGGTGAACTTAATATAGTATATACAGATGTTGATTTATAATCATGCACACCTGAAACTTCTATAATGTTAGGATGTAATGTTACTCAAATAAAAAAATCAATTGACTATGTAAAGAGGTTTATTTTTGTACTCTTAATTCTATGGCACTGGTATATATGACTTCATGCCAGTACAACAGTCTTGATTACTGTATCTTTGCAGCAAGTTTTAAAATCAGGTAATATGTTCCCTCCAACAAGTTCTTTACAAAATTATTCTTGCTAGTCCAGATTTCTTAATTACCAAGGAATTTTAGATGAGTTTGTTCATTTCTGCCAAAAAAATAAAAAATAAATGGCATAACATCAAACTAAAAAGCTTCTGTACACTAAACTATCAATACAAAAATGTCCTATTGAATGGAAAAAAATATTCACACACCAAACAGCTGACAAGGGGCTGAGATGGCTGTATTTCTGAAATGTCTGCTGTAACTTCTCTTTTGTTTCTATCTATTAGCATTTTCTCCCCATTTTTTTTTCTTAGTATTCTTGGATAGATGTTTGTTTATTTTGTTTATACTTTTAAAGAACCAGCTTTTGGTTTCACGGATCTATTTTCTATAACATGAGAGATTGTTTTATGTTCTAACATATGGTCCATTCTATAGAATGTTCCATGCCTACTTAAGAAATATACTTTCTTCTGTTGTTGGATGGTGTATGGTGTGTTCTCCAGATAGGAGTTTTATCCAGTTGGATTATAGTGTTGTTTTTTTATTCCCTTGTTGATGTTCTTTCGATGTCTTCTATTCGTTATTGAAAGTGGTGTATTGAAGTGTCCAACTATAAGTGTCTATTTCTCTCTTCAATTCTTAGTTTTGTTTCATGCATTTTCAGATACATTTTAACAATTTAAATGTTCATGATTATTCTATGTCGTTGATGGATTGACTGACTTATCTACATCAAAACATTTTAAATGATTTAGACTCTTTACTATCTTCTTTTATCTACATATATCTCTGGATGAATATATCTGGTTTCATGATTTTAAATAACATGTATATGCTGATGACTTCCAGATTTTTATCAGTACTCCAATATCTCACAAAATTCTGGACTCATATTAAGCTATATATTCTCCATCTTATAAATCTCTCATACATCAAAGGCTCAAAATAGAACTTGTGATTCACTCACTACCCAACTTCTTCCTCCCTCTGTTCTTTCCTATCTCAGAAAATGTCAACCTTATCCAATTATATATGCAAATTTTAATTAGATTGATCCTTCTCTTTTTATATCACACTTTAGCCAATTCATACACAAGTTATAATTCTAAATCATCCTGAATCCATATACTCTTCAACTCTGTCGCCACTGTTCTAGGCAATCATCATCTCTAATTACCATCTCTACTACTGCACAACTTCCATTACCTTCCACTTGATCTCATTGCTTTATATCTCCGCTCCCAAATTTTCACATTGAAATCATTTTTTGTCACAAAGAAATAACTATTTGTTCATAATTTTCTAATTGTTTCTTATTGCTTTGCACTTAGAATAAAATCTAACCTCAACAGGATTTAAAAATCTTCTCATGAGTTAAACCTCATTTTCCTCCTGAAGTTAATTTTTTACTACTCTCTACTTTCCACACATCCTTTTCTTAAATATGCCCATTTCTTTCTCATCTTTGCTGTTTTGCAATTGTTGCTTTTCTTGTTTGTTCTTGTCTGCCTCTGTCTCATTTAATCTCAGCTTTAATGCTTCTTCCTATAAAATGTCTTCCCTGATTATCTAGTTTAAATTAACCACTCCCCATGCACACAAACCATATATTCTCTACCACAATTCCCAGTTCTATATTCTTCTTAGCACATGAAATTTTTATTGCATTCATTGTACTTAAACTCCATCTGAAATAATGCCTACTTATTAGTTTAATTAGTTTGTCTACTCCCTCTCTACAACCAATTATTGCAAGTTTCATGAAAGCATAGGTTTTCTATTTTGTTGAACTCTTTCAACTTGCATACCAAAGGCCAAAACCATATACTTATTATTGTACAAATAGGTGACAAAATCTAGGTAGTGGCAATAAATGAATTATAAATTTGGCAGCCAATACAATGATAAATGTGGCACAACTATGTTCAGTCTATTTCTTTGCTCGAAACACCAGAAAGTATCTATCATATACCCACTCCTAGAACTGAGGAGTCTCCCCAACAGAGCTATGAGGACTGAGAGTGAGAGAGAAGTGGATGACAGAACAGATCCAGTATGTTCTAACAGATGAGGGGTAGACTGTAGAAATTCACTACAAACACAACCATAGATTTGAGTCACACTGTAAGTAGAGTTTATAAAAATCTGATATGTAAGAATCAGAGTTTATAAAATTAAAATCATGAGATTTAAGCAAAATGGAATAAAAATCGATGAATGTACTTTGAGAAAATTAATATGATAAGCTTGGCTTAAATTAAAATAAAAAAGGAACTAATAATCAAGGAGTTAACAAAGGACGCTGATAAAATGGTAGGTCTTAACACACTGGAAAATTTGCAGGGATTTTATAGTCATCTCTGATCATGTTCAACTTCTCTGAGAAGTTTCAAGTATTAAAAGACACAGGGTTATGAATTATTATTACAGTCAGTTTGTATTGTAAACCCAGAGACTCAGAAAGTAAAGAAAAGGGCTAACGGAATTTAAAGAAAAATTATAGTGTATTGATAAATACAATGTTCTTGACTTCATGCATGTCATTCAGTAAGCACACACTCGAGAGTCTGACGTTAGGCACAAATGAAAGACACGATCCCTACACTGAAATGACTCAGATAAATGAACAATGAAGTTAGCATGAGTACAATGATAAATGTTAATACCTAGGGGCTTGGGGATATAGACCAAAAGCTCCTTGCTTATTAAGGTTGTTGACATATTCAGAAATTTTCTTGAAAATATTGTTAAATATTGAATGATGAGTAGAAATGGTCAAAACAATAAACTCTTTAGGGGTTAGAGAACAGCAGTATGTCCATGCATTGAGTAGGAAGGCTTCCCAAAAGAGACAAAAATTGAATTTGACTTGACAAATGAGTAACATATGCAGAGACAGACATATTCTTTTCCTAGGGTTGATCTGAACAATTACTACAACTGGGTGACTTAAAACAGAATTACATTCTCACAGTTCTAGAGGCTACGTTCAAAACCAAATTGTCAGCAGGGCCGTTCTCCCCCCAGAGGCTCTAATGAAGATTCCTGCCTTGTCTCTTCTGCTTCTGGTAGTTGCTCTTGATCATTGGTATTTTTTTGGTTTGTGACAGCATAACTACACTTCCTGCCTCTATGTTCACATGGCTTCTCCTCTCTATGTGCCTGTGTGTCTGTATCTCATAAAGACATGTCATCCACTATGACATCAACTTAACTAATTACTACAACTAATCTACAACAATCCCATTTTTTTTTTTTCATATCCTGAGGTACTAGATAGACATGAACTTTGGGGCAGCACCAGTCAATACAATACAACAGATCATATAGAACTACAATTCTATTTTAATTTTTTTAAACACCCTTGTTTATTTTTCATAATGTAGGATTTCTCCCCCGAGGAATGGTCATAATGGTTTTCCCGCCACCAAAGTCCCCAGAGTCTCCACTGCTCTCTCCCCCACCACCATTTTCAACTCTTCCTCCCCCTCCTCCTTCCCTCCTGAATTTCTCAGATTTGTTATCTTCTTCCTTCATCTAGAATAAAAATCCCCAAAGTATCCAAAACTCTCCTGACTAGAAAGGGAATAAAAATGGAGGTATCACACAGCCAGACTTCAAACTGTATTATAAGTTCATAATAATTAAAACAGCAAGGCACTGGAACAAAAACAAGCGCACAGACCAATGGAATAGAATTGAGAGCCCCAAAATAAAAACACATATTTCTGGAAAACTAATATACAACAAAGGAGCAAAGTAAATATACTGGAACAAGGAAAGCCTCTTCAAAAAATGGTGCTGGGAAAATTGGACTGTCACATACAAAAGAATAACACTAGACCATTATCTCATATCAAACACAAAAATTCAACTCAAAAGTGGACAAGACGGGCCTCCCCTGGTGGCGCAGCGGTTGAGCGCTGGGCTGTGAGGCTGCCCGCAGCCTCTGCAGCGCTGGTTCGTTCCCCAGCTGCTGGCGAGTGTCCCACAAAAAAAAAAAAAAAAAAGGGAGGGGTTGGGGCAAGACTTGGATGTAAGACCTGAAACCATAAAATTCATAGAAGAAAATAGGCAAAACACTCCATGACATAAACTCCAGAAACATCTTTGCAGAGTCATCTCCAACAACAAGGAAAGCGAAGGAGATAATAAACAGCCGGGACTATATAGAACTACAATGTGTTCTATAACGTGTGAAACTAAAAGTGTACAAAGTTAGGGGAATCTAGACACCGTTTGTGGGTTCTTCACCCATGTGCTCACAATTGCAACACACGTCAAACTTAGGGTTCAGCAACAACAGGATGTATTTACAAAGGAGAAACTGGGGAAAAGGAAAATGTTCCTAAGGCCACACATGGCTGGCTCTCCTACCCCAGATAGTGTCCAGTGTCTAGTAGCTCAAACAAAAGCTGTTCATGCAAGATAATGCTGTCCCTCAGATGAGAACCTAGAACTGGCGGTACACCAGACAGTAATGGACCAGGATCCAGCTAACCTGTGTCAGCTGGAGTAGTCATAGGTGTGCTGCTGAGACCACGTTCCAGCAGTATCTCTCCTGAAGTCAGTCTGTCTCCTCCAGAAGTCAATCAAGTCTCCTTCTTATGCCTCCTCAAGCTGCTACATCCAGTCATCCAAAGCACCTCCTCTCCAAAAATCCCCAAGCTGAGTCAGCCTTTGCTTATATTTGCTTTCAGGTACCTGCCTTTCAAATCTGATTGGCCCATTTTCCAAGCCAGCTGTTCCCAAGACTTAATTGGTGCTGGAGCCATCTTGAAACTAATTGGTCTCAGTGGGAGCTCGGACCTGGTCCATTTTCATAGCCAGCTTGGGGTTCAAAACCAAAGCCCCAGGAATATGTCCTACCTGTCCTGCATTGTCTTGTGCCAGAACTAGTTAAGTAAGCTCTGCTGTATCTGAATGGTGCTGGCCAGGTTCAAACATGGCCAAAACTGCCATGATTTTTTTTTTTCTTTTTTCCTAAAACCAAAACATGAGTCATCAAATCCAGCTGCCTTGGCATAGTCCAGGCTGATGCTGATCAGCTGGGAACTGCTGTTACAGACCATCCAGAACTACTTTTGTGAAGTTAGTATTCACTGTTAAATATTCAAAAATATTTAACAGGGGGCCTCCCTGGTGGCGCAAGGGATTAAGTATCGCACTATGAAGCGATCTGCAGCCTCTGCAGCATGAGTTCTATGCCCAGCCGGCCAGAGAGCAACCCACATGGCTCAGCAGACCTCTCCTGCCTCTCCCGCTGCTCCCCTCAGCAGTGTATTTCAGTCAGTCTGCCTGTTCTGCTCCCCACTCTGTCTCTGATGAATCCTCTCACCACCCCCACTGTAAGGTCAGGAGCGGACACAGAGCAGGTTCTCTGATCCCATGCAGACCGGGTAAAGGAGGAGTCAGAGTCCTCAGTGGTTTTGCAGGTTTTTTATTGGGGTTCACCAGGCATATGGTAGGCAGGGGTGCTGGCCTCCCAGCCCCCAGCAAGTCTTCACTCTATCTGGGCTCTCTGGAGTTTGTTCTGCTGCTTCTCGGCTTCTCTTTCGGCTTTGGCTTCGGCTTCTACTGCTGCTCCTGGCGTCCCCGTGACGCCGCCCTTAAAAAGCACAGTCTTAGCTCAGCTGAATCCCATCTACCTGGGCCCATACCCTATTCCAGGTGCCCGCCATCAGGCATGCATTCAGGACAAGGATCCATCATCTATCCTGATGGCGGAAGGGCAGAAAAGCCTGATATTTTCTTTACCCTACACCCATCCCCCCGGCGCATCTTTGACCTGTACCCCAGCTCTTGTATGCATAAATAAATAAATCTTTAAAAAAATATTTAACAAATGGAACAGTGATAACATTAATATGGAAAATATATGTATATTTATTTTTATTTTCTAAGTAAGTCTGAACTATAAAACTGGCTTTATACAAGTTGTAGCATGTAGGGTAAGTGAAGTATCAGGCTTTTCTGCCCTCCCGCCATCAGGATGGATGATGGATCCTGGCGGTCCTGAATGCATGCCTGATGGTGGGCACCTGGAGTGGGGTGTGGGCATAGGTAGGTGGGTTTCACCTAGGCTGATACTGGGTTTATAAGGGTTGAGTCATGGCGAAGACAGCAAAATAGCAGAACGAAAGAGTAAGAGACCAGAACAAGAGAGAGAGCGAGAGAACGCCACGAGAGAACGCCAAGAAAGCCCAGATAGAGTCAAGATTCGCTGGGGGCTGGGTGGCCTGCCAGTCCCTGCTCCCCCACCCCAGCACTCCTGCCTGCCGTGTACCTGGTAAATCTAATAAAAGCCTGCAAAAGCCACTGAGGGCTCCAGCACTCCTTCTTCACCCATCTGCTGGGGTCATAGAGAACCTGCCCTGTCTTCATGCCGCTACATAGCATAAATCATTTATGAAATCACTCCAAAATTATTGATGATATGACTTTCTGTTTGAAGCTAATAGTGTAAGTAATAATTTAACACATGTAATCTGTGATGTGTGATATCTACATCACACATATGCATCACACTCTCAAAGTCAAACCCTTTGTCTTGTTACTAAGGTTTTGTACCAAAAAAAAAAAAAAAAAAAGGCACATGGAGAGAAAATAGAGCTGGTCTCTGCCCCCAGTTCCTAAATGAAATCTCCCCAAACCCTGTAAAGTCCTAAGTGATAAGAGCGCTGGGAGCATCTTTCCTCCTAACATTTAGTATTTTTCCGTTTCCTGACCAAGGTTTCCTGAAGCCCTTGTGTAGGGTAAGGAAAAAGTATCAGGCTTTCCTGCCCTCTGGCCATTAGGATAGATGAGGGAACCCTGTGGTCCTGAATGCAGGCCTGATGGCAACACCTGGAGCGGGTGCACCTGGGCTGAGAGACTGAGTTTATTTATAAGGGCGGCGTCACGGGGACTCCAGCAGAAGCCGAGAGAAGCTGAGAGAAGAAGAAGAGAAGCAGAGAGAACACCAGAGAGCCCAGATAGAGTGAGGATTTGCTGGGGGCTGGGAGGACTGCCAGCCTCCCGCCCCCCAGCACCCCTGCCTGCCATGTGCCTGGTAAATCTAAATAAAAGACCTGCAAAAGCCACTGAGGACTCTGACTCCTCCTTACCCGGTCTGCTGGATCAGAAAACCTGCTCAGTGCCCCTTCCTGCCCCTATACCTTGTAATTTCCTGAGTTAAAGTGTTACCTCTAATCCTCACGCGGTAATGCTAGGTTGGCTCCTAGATGAGAACTGATCAACAGAAAGACCAAGACATGAGTAGAAGCTTAGAATTTTTATCCTACCCTCAGAGGAACACTGAAAGTAAATAACTCATCTGCCTACATGAGGAAATAGCCATGAAAAGCCCAAATGTATGGGGTTCAAAGAGCTTCCAGAGTGATAAACACACCATGCCAGGCAGGTGACATACCCACACCCAAATAGTCAAAAGCTCATGTCCGGGGCCCTCCCAGACCTTGCCCTATGTGTCTCTTCCTCTGGCTGTTCCTCTGTAGCCTTTGTCATGTCCTGTGATCAGCTGGTAAATTCAGGTGTCTCCCTGAGTTTTGTGAGCTACTCCAGCAAATGAGCTGAAACTCAGAAGGGGTCCTGGGAAGCACTGATCTGTAGTCAAGACTGACAGCAGTGTTGGGGAACCCAGGACCTGCTCTTCCCATCGGCATCTGAAGTGTGCTGAGAACAAGCATCATAGGCCTGAAACCCTCACCTGTAGGATCTGACCTTATCTCCAGGTAAATCATGTCAGAACTAAGCAGTAGGACACCCAGCTGATATCCTGGAGAATTGCATGGTGTAAGGGACAACCCCCACACATCTGGTGTCAGAAGTCAGAAGTGAAGCTCTCTATGAGTAGGAAAGGAGGCTCAGAAGATCAAAGGGCTGCTGGACTTAGTTCTAAAATCAAAACCACCATCAAACTACCATGACTTTTCAATTAATCATTAACAATTAGGTCACTTGTAGATCTAATAAGTCAATATTTCCTCTTGACAATATTCATTCTCTGCTGAATCCTGTTTCTGATGAAATAGTAATAATTGTGCAATAGCAATAGCCCAATTTAGCAAATGTGCTAAATTTTAAAGTGTTGTGTGTATGTGTGTGTGTGTTAATCCTTGCTGTTGACAATAACAAAATCCACTTATTGTAATGCAACAGATAACCAGATCAAACCTTATCTTCCTGGCTGGAAAGTGGTGAGTTATTTGACTAATATGGGCACAGAGTTTCCAGCAGCTGCTCGACTGTTCTGTCTCTAAGATTACAAACCTTTCTCTACCTCAGTTTCTTCACCTATAAAAGTATAATGATTATAATTATAATACTCTACTGAGTTGATTATACATTTAGAAAGTATATGCCTGGCATAGAGTAAGTGCTATGTTAAGTGTTAACTCTCATTTTATTAATAAACCTAATGCTTTTAATATCTATGACAAGTTAGCATTTGATGATCTTTAATGAGTTCCTCCTTAAATGGAGATGAATTTCAAAAGGATTGCTTAAAAGAGGGACTCAAATTCTTGGCATCCCCACAGGCACAGTCATACAATGTCCTATCCCCAGTGCCCCCTCCCCATGAGGCAGAGCATATGATACCTTGCTTGTGTCTTCATTAGCCTCCATGACTATTGACTCACTTGCTCTTTTGTCCATCCTTGGCTCTCTCAGAGTCAAAATCTTGGTCTTGTATTCTATGAAATTACCATGCAGCGGAAATTTTGGCAAATTCACCCTGGGGAGTGGGCACAGATGCAGTTAGTCAGATGAACCATAAGCATTTACCATTGGATACCAGTGATTCCACCAAGGGTGAGTTTCTCTCTCACCAGGGACAAGACACTGGTGAGGGGCCCTACCCGCAAGGCTGCGAGTCCAGCAGTTGTCAGGACTAATTAATCCCAGATGGTGCCCACCTGTTGCTCCATTAATCTGGACAGGAACGTGGGAATGATAAAGAGCAGCCCATCGGGATTCCTAGGCAGCCAGGAATGATGTCCAAGAAACGGGGATGTCCCGAAGCTAAATGACATCAGCAATGAACAACCAGAACAGTCATAAGTCTGATGTCTGGAGCAGAGTCCTGGTAGTCATTGATAATAAGGTCAGCAACACATTAGTTCTCACATATGGGGTTCAAAGGAAATGCTGGGGTGAATCTGTGCAGGGCTAAGAATTCTCATATCCTTTATAAATCAAAGTCCATTTTGACTATCCAAGAGCAGGCTAAGGAATATAATAATATTTTAAATGCATTTGACCACAGACCATTTCTATTTTTTTAAGACATGCCTTTGAAAATCACAGTATAGTAGAAAGATCACAGGATTTGGAAACATTTAGGCCTTGGTTTCATTCCCAGCTCCTTCACATACCAGATACATGACCTCGGACACAACCCTCTCCCCAACACACCTTTGCATTCCATTTGTAAAAGAAGCATAAGACCCACCTTTCAAGCTATTATAATGGCAAGAAAGGAAATTCTCAGGGACTTGGGGAGAAGACTTTCTGTTCCCCAATTTACTCACCTTCCATCCTGGCGCTATACTTTCCAGGCTCCTCTGCACTTGTGAGCACTCCTGTCACTATCTGGATAGCAGAAGGTGGTGGCCAGCAACAAGTTCTATTTCCAAGTCAGGATCATAAAACCCTCCAATGAGCAACCTTCTTCCTCTTTTTCTTTCTCTCTACCCACTGACAAAAAAAAATTAAATGAACTTTTAGAGGGAAAGGCAGAAACTTAAGGAAAAAGGGTCTTACTGGGTCCTCGATTCACTTGTTGAATCTCCAAGGTGAGTCTCCCAGCCATCAATGTCCACTCTAGGCAGTCCATGAGTAAGAAATGGACATGTATTGTGTTGAAGCGCTGATATTTAGAGAGGCTTTTTGATGCCACTATGGTATGAATGGAAAGCTCATTGCCCAGTGCCTGGTAAATGTGGAGTAACTGGTAGATACTAGAGTCCAATGATTACGATAATTGCATAAATATACTGGAAAGAAACAATTCTTGTGATTCAGCTAAAATATCAAGGAAGTAAAATTCCTGGGTACACTGACGTTTCCCAATGGGTTTGTCAACTTCTGTTCTGTGGCTATAAATTACTGACTCATTGTATCAGTTGCTAAGGCTACCATAAGAAAGTACCACAACCTGCATGGTTTAAAGAGCAGGAATTTATTTTCTCATAGTCCCGGAGGCTGGAAGTCCAGGATGAAGATGCTGGTGGAGTTGCTCCTTCTCAGGTCTCTCTGGGGAAAGGTCATCTTCTTGTCTTCACATGTTCTGCCCTCTGTGTGCATGCATGTGTGTGTATGTGTGTGTGTGTCCAAATCCCCTCTTCTTGTAAGGACACCAGTCACACTTGACTACTATCACCCATCTAATGATTCCATTTCAATGTAATTACTTTGTTCATGTTGGTAAAGTGTGAGGGTCTAGGCCCTCAACATATGAAATGTGGGAGAGACACAATTCAGTCTAGGCCAACCACCAACCTGTGACTCTGCCTTCCAAATAATTCAAGTAAAGAAAGCTTGTCCAGATAATAGCCATATATTCTTGCTGGAGTGTTGGTCACAAAAAAGCACCATTTATACTTGAACTTACTCTATAAATGTCAACTTTGCTTTCTCTCTCTATGGAGAAAACACTTTGTTGGGAGGCAAGGACAAAAACAGCTGTAGCAAATATAATTGGTTTTCCTATTGGTTAGTCAACAAAATGCACATGGTATATGGATTTAAACATGAAAGGGAGTGAATTTCAGGCAGCGAATTTCCTACAGAGCAGAAAATAAAGCTAACTCCCAATTATGACTAAAGTATATCCTTTAATTATTGTGTTACATCACACATAGATATATGACAGGTACTTGTTCAAAGGAGCAAAGGAGCAACAGTATCTCTGGGATTCACACAGTCTTTTAGAATCCTGCCTGGGAAGGTTTTTTTTTTTTTTGATGTGTTTTTCAGATTTCAAAAATATTCAAAGTCAGAAAACAGAAATGAAAGAATGAAATTTTGTACTGCTTTTAGAAATGGTGGCAGTCTAGAAAAGTCCCTCATTGAGTAGATTTTACAATTAGTAGAATTTATTTTGAAGGTATCAGCCTCCTGAGTATAAACCAGCTGTACATATTGTTACAAAGTATGTACTGTTTAGACTCCCAACACTGTTCAGAGATATCTTATCCAACCATAGAGCAGAGCCAACTCACCATCAAGTAAAACCTTGAACTCATTGTTTGCCTGATCACTCAAAAAATTTCAGTTAGGAGAAAAACACATTTAGGGAAGATTGCCTGAGGACCTTGTGGTCTTTTTATTCTTCTCCTCTAGATACTCTGAAAATTATCCTTTGATTAATCTATCCAAACAAACCCTTCTCCCTTGGAACATACTCTTTTGTTCCCACCCTGCACATCCAAGAGAAGTCATAGTCTCATACTGAAGCATCAAAAAGAAATTAGGCAGGGTGGGACCATGCCAGGGGTGAAGACCTACCATACCAAAAATGCATCGCTGTTCCATGGATTGAGACTATATTATTTGCTTAGCACAGTCCTGACTTCATGGGATAGAGGATTATAAATTTTAAGAGGGCAGGAGCTATGTCTTGTTCATCATTTCTCCAGCAGACATCAATCAATATCTCACTCACTCTTTAAAACAACTCTTTAAAACACATTTTGATCCTCACTTAGTGAAGAGGAAAATAAGGCTCAGGGAGGTTGAGGCTTGGCTGGGCTTCGCATGTAGTAAGCTGCAGGCTTTGCACCATGCCCAGGCCCATGGCCACAAGCAAGACATCAGGGTCCTGCCCCAGACCTGAAGAAAGTGCAAGGGCACTTTCTTCAAGAATTGCTATGCCCTCAACAGAGCCTGGGGATGACTAGTATGGATAGTGCCATCAGGGGGACCTCTAGTCTGGACTGGGACCTGCATGAGTCCCATCTCTTCTTTGTAGGGTGGTCCTGATGTGCTCCCTATGAGGGGTCACCAGATATCTCTTGAAATTCCAAAACTCATGCTGATGGGGCCACCCCAGGCCCCACAGCTGAGCCCCTGTTCAAATGAATCACAATTCCCAGTTTGGCAAATTTGTGCTTTCCCAAACCAGTCATAAACCATGCAAGATATGGAATAAAGTTTTGTGGAACTGGGACTGGTCTTCTCACTTTTCCCAAAGATCCCTCGCCTATGGTCCCTGTGACAGATGGCTTGTGCAGGCACTAGAAAGACATCACGTGCTAGCAATGCAGCATTACAGTCTGAAGAGGTCAAGAGGAGATGTAGCTGGAAGATATTTATGATGTAAAACTCTGGACAGCAAATTTCACATGATCAGAGACAAATCATCATTCACATTTTCCTACATATTCTGGGCAAGACTTGACTTTATATTCATTATTACAAAGCATAGCTAGCAACCTTAGAAAGTGTCTTAAGACCTGGCATTCCCAGATGGTCTTGTGGCTGATCCAATGTCAAGAGCAATGATGTCACCAGCATTAAATAGATTGGATGAAAGTCAAAAGAGGCAAAATCTATATCAAAACGTTACAAAACAGTGTCCCCAAAACCACAGAATTATGAGCATAAGGGAAATTTTCACCTCCTGTGGTTCCTTGGGCTGGTCCAATAATAAATGGACACAGAATAGATTAGCGCAAAAAAAAAAAAAAAAAAAAAAGGAAAGGGCCTCCCCAGTGGCGCAGCGATTGAGCGCCGGGCTGCCAAGCTGCCCTCAGCCTCTGCAGCACCGGTTAGATCCCCAGCTGCCAGCAAGGGTTCCTCCTGCCGCGCCCGCTGCTCCCCTCAGCAGTGTACTTCATTAGTCTGCCTATTCTGCTCTCCGTTCTGACTCTGGTGAATTCTCTCACCCTCCCGCACTTCTGACTTTACCCAGTTCTTGTATAAATAAATAAATAAATCTTTAAAAAAAAAAAAAGAAAACTTTCTTAAAAAAAAAAAAAAGGACAAACTTAATTTGTACACACAGAAGTCCATCAACTATGGAAACTAGCAAATAACCAAAACAGCCAGTGTATATAGCTTTTAGCAGAAGAAACAATAAATTTTTGTGGAATAGAAAGAATAAAGAAATTCTTGAAAGTTTTGTTCTGGACAACCAATTTAGTGAACTGAACAGAGTTTGTTTCACAGTCCCCTTCCCTGTCTTTGATGATGGGGGTGGTCTCTCCATCTCTGTGCAGAGAGGGCACCTTCACCCAGAGATTTAGTACCTGCTTTCAGGGCAACAGAGGGGAAGAGGATCAGAGAAAATACCACTTTCAATAGAAAGGGAGGTTTAGGGTTTCACTCATTCATTGACTGTTTATTTTTAATTGAAACTAGTCAGCGCACGTCCGGGCACGTCATGTGGTTACTTGACATGAACAATGATGGAAGCAATGGAATTAAGCACAGTCTGCTTGACCGTGAAGAGCACAGTGATAATTCCTTGGCCTGCAAGGATGAGCTAGTTCTCTAAAAGGAATCACGCATACACCAATCAGGCAATAAAAAAAACTTAAGTAGTTCCTTTTTACATAGTATTCAAAATCTTCATTAATGAATCACTGTACCTCACATGGACCCACAAACTGTGTAATACATATTTGATAGTCACACTCCTATTGAATTGGGGGCGGGGAGGGGGAGTTTGAAAGCTAAAGTTCATGTAGAATGAAGTAAAGTGAAGATTTCCAGGTGAGAAATGTATCATACAACAAAACTTTCATACAAATCTACTGTTACTGTGTATGTGAGAGTATAATGTGTTTTTTCAAATTAATACACCTGGAGTCTATTATTTTTATTGAAGTCACAAAGGCTGACAACATTGTTTATAATTCGGGGGTTAGCTTCACTGCTCATCAGATGTAGAGAAATTCGCTGCAAGAGACATTTGCTACCTTAGGAGCAGCTTTAGATTCAGAGCAAAATTGGACAGAAACAATAGTGTTACCAACAACCTCCTTCTCACAAACATGTGTCTCCAACAACATTCCAAGTGTGGTAAGCTTGTTGCAGTTGATGAGCTGACACTGACACAGCCTTACCAACCAACTTGCTTGAATTCTCTGTTTACCACAAATGAGTGAAAGCAGAAAATACTGCTTTCTCTATTGGACTTATTTCACTCAGTGTAATACCCTCAAGATCCTTCCATGTTGGCACAAATATAAGGAATCCATCCTTCTTTCATAGTTCAGTGGTATCCATTGTGATAAGTTTTTACTGAAATTATGTATATAGACCAGAGTCCACAAAAATACATGCCTCCTTTCTCTCTACAAACTAGGCATGGCTCCACAGAGGTTTATTGCCTCCCAAAACTTATGATCTTAACCAAACAATCCAATATAGCTTCTAACTTCATTTACCCTCTTTTCCAAGTATACCAACTATTCATTACTGTTCATCATGATGACACAGCATCTTCCACAATCTAGTTTTACACAATGCTTTTCCCTCCTGCAATGTCCATTTTCCTCCTCTCTAATGGGAGCACAAGTTAGTGCCTCTCCCTTCGTGAAGCTTCCCTGAGGCTACCCCACCCCAGTCCACCTTTGGTTTATATGTGGCTTGAAACAGAGCCTTTACTGGGAAAGATCTTTTAGTTTAGGAGTCACTGGTGCTTTCGCATATTGTTATTTTTACCAGAGTTCCCAGTCAGATTATAAACA